GCCCCCTGCCCCCGCCCCCCACCGTCTACTCTGACCAGCTCTTCACAATCTGATTGCTAACCGACTTTTCCCAGCAGCTCCTACACAGTCTGAAAATGGCCCTTTTCTCCCTCAGTGACATGAAGGGATTTGTCACTTTGGTCATCAGCTGGTATTTGGACTTCAAGGGCAAATTTGTCCATGGCTTCCCTTGTCTGAGCTCCCATGCTTCCTCCACCCCCAGCCCTGTATGCCCAAGTCCTAAGCATGCTCCAGGGTCTTATTCTAATGCCACCGCCTTCTCAGACCTGGCCAACATCTCATCCTTCTCCAAATTATCAGAGCACGTATTTCTCCTCACCTCTCATGTCATGTTCTCTCTCATGGTACTGACATTTGTTTATGTGTATGTTTCATGTCCTGTACTGTTCTGTACACTTAAATTCCTTGAGAGCAGGAATTAAGTCTTTCTTAGCACACAGTAGCCATTAAGAATATCTGTTGAGTAAATTAGTGACTGCTAAGTGTCAAACACTAATCTTAGGTATTGTGAATACAGAGATGAATTACCTTGGAGTAAAACCCATTTACTAAGAAACCTGGTCTCATATGGGGAGACAGAGCCATAAAAAGATAATGCAAAACTACAAATATGTGCAGAACAGGGAGATGGCACAGAGGAAGACACAGTTATGGAGCCCTGGGCTCCACAGTCAGACAGTTCAGGATCCAAGTTTTGGCTCTGCCACTTCACAGCTCTGTGACATTAGCAGTGACTTGATCTCTTATGTGCCTCAGTGAGAATAAAGTAGTACCTACTCCATAGGATTGTTGATGTGCATAAGGCCCTCAGCACAGCGCATGGCGCCTAGTAGTGATGTAATAAATGAACACTGTCGGGCCAGCCGAGTGGCGCGATGGTTAAGAACTGACTTGGGACGCCAGAGGGCCCCGGTTCGTATCCCACATATGAGGGCCAGTGACACTGCCCTCCACAGCTAAGATGCTGAACAACAGCTCAACCTGG